GATGGTTTAAAAAATTCTCCTAATCGATGCAGGGGTTCCAAAGTGCAGGATGAGATGGTGATGCCCAGCACAAACTGAGGATATCCCAAAATGGCAAAGGCATTGTCAAGTGCTTCTGTCGAAAAACCCGTTAGACTGGTAATTTCTTCTGACACCCAGCCAGCTGCCAATGAATGACAGAATCGCCGACAGGCCGGCACCAGATGATGCAGCATTGGCCAAGGTAACCGGAAAAGTTATTATTTGGATCACTGGATGATCAGACTATGAACTACAGTTGGCCCAAATAAAATCAAGTCAACAAAAAGATGCTATTGCGAAAGCGAACTAGCGATGATAAATGAGATTCATAGAGGATGAACACCCTGCCTCCGTTTGAGAGATTTACATAATTCGGGAGGAGGCGAAATAGAAGTGCAGAACGGAAAGCTCGGAAGCGGGAAAAGAAAGCGTGTGAGAGAGGGGCTAGTGAACTTGCATCCCTGCCGCCTTTTTACTTGCGCCACTACTTAAAAGAGTATCCGAAACTGATCGTATTTACAAAAAATTCACTTCATTTCCATTCATAAGTTTGCTTTCATCGTGAGCGACAAATTAGCCCGCACATTTCCCTTACAGTGAAAATAGTGGCCACTGAATACCACAGGTGTGGACAGTGATTATGCTTTCGTTCGTTTCCATAGCTACTATACGGCTTCGCCTGCTCTGTGAGTGCAAAAAGCTGAAATGAAATGAGCGAAATCGTAGTAATTAACACGCAGGGCGCACTCATACGTACATGTCGCCGTGAGATGCTGACACCGCTTGCCTTCCTGAATTTATTCTTGATCACTTACTGTGCGTGTTGGGAAGCACAGACAACGAATAAACGTTCGACGAGCAGTCACACAGCACTCATTTACCCATCTAGTAAGTTCACCGTTTTTTGAAAACTTTTAGGAAGCAGCTGCTTTCGTTTACGGAATGAATGCTGTTTTGTGCCTGTTATATATATATGAATATGAGGGGACCAGAAACAATTACAGAGAATGTGAAAATCTTAAGAAAGCCAAGATTATTAAAAGCTCCCGGACA